AGACAGAGTCTCACTGTGTAACCCTGACTTGCCTGGAAACTATGTAGACCAGCCTGACTTCAAACTCCCAGAGAGTCACCTGCCCCTGCCTCCCAAGTGCTGGACTAAAGGACACACAACGTAGCCCAGGCTGGTCTTAAATTTACCATCCTCTTGCCTCAGTCTCCCATGTGAGATGCTGCATTTCTGACCAGTTCCCAGGTATGGCTGCTGCTGCTATTTTGAGGGCTCTACCTTGAACCTTACCCTGGTTCCTGAAGTGATGAGTGTCCTGACAAGCTAGCGAGTGCTGGGGTCTCTTATGCTGCCCAGTGCTGGCAGGTCCCTACTCCATCCCCCTATGTTGGGGAGCCCATAGAGGACCAGCTTCCAAATCATCTCCTCCTCACCTGGTACCTCCTCTTATGCTCAGACACAAGCTGCCAAGGCTCTGTTCAACCCCTCTCCTACCTCAGGAGCATGAGGCTGTTTAATGGTTCACCCAGAGGCCAGCTCTCCTGTCAGAGACCCCTGGCCCAGAGGCTTATGTCCCAATGCTCTAGCACCTTGTGGGGTTTGGGACCTCTGTGAGCATGTATGGGTACAGACTTCCCACCCAAAGAGCCCAGGCTGTCTCCTCACTCCCCTCAGTAGAACCCACAGGCTCCAGAATGTCTCCAGACCCGTCCAGTAATCCAACCATCCTACATGAGTGTGTCAACAAGCATTATTTATTTTAAGGACATTCTCTGATGAGAAAGTTCTGGTCAGTTGGAGGCCAGTGGGATGATATCAGGGTGACCCTCCTGGAGGGATAAGTGGAAAGAGCAGGTACAAGGGGCCAGAGTGAGGTTAAAGGTCAGAGGAAGGGGAAGGGCCAAGGAGGTTACCTCCCTCTAGCTTGGACCCATGTCCAGAACTGTGGGCTGAGACCCACATGCTGTAGCCCAGGACACCCTTCTATGGAGGGGAGTGAGCTGGGATCTCCAACTGCCTGGCCACCCCAGTGCTCTTGTGGGATGTGGGGAGCTGGACCTGAAACAAAGAGTTAAAATGGAGACCCAGACAGCATGCCCCAGCCCTCATCTCCAGGCTAGGACCTGCCTATGTCTGCACATGGGTCAGCTGGACATCACCCGCTACTTCCAGGTTGTTGATGGCTGGCAAGTTCTTCAAGCGGTGGAAGTATTCACACAGGTGTTGACTGTCCACAACCACCTTGAGGCAGTGGCTTTCACATATGATCCATACCTGGGCAGAGAGACCACGCCATTTGTGAGACACGGGAACCCAGGGCTTGTGTCTCCTTCCTGCTGTCTCTCCTTCCTTAGGAACAAGCCCATACCTGGCCTCTAGACACACTGCCCTTCACCAAATATATGTGCTGTCTGCCTAGTACCCTAGCATAGGCTGTACCCAAGCCTGGAATTCTGTTCCCACCCTGCATACCTTCCCTATGAGGAAAGTGCTGATCCATCTCTTCAGCAACCTTCCCGGACTGTCCCACCTCCTGACCCCCACTCAGTTTAGCCAACTGCCTGCTTAGATTGTGTCCCTCACTACAATCCACACTCTCCAGGTAGATCCCAAGCTACTAGTCAAGACTGCTGGCTCAGGGCATCTGTTCCTAGTGCTCCATGCCTGGGCTCCAGCCTAAGGCATTTTCTGTGAGAACAACTGGCACAAATGTAAAACATCATCACCTATGGCCACAGCTAACACCGTATGACACTGTATGTGGGCACTGTCCACAGCTAACACCGTATGACACTGTATGTGGGCACTGTCCACAGCTAACACTGTATGACACTGTATGTGGGCACTGTCCACAGCTAACACTGTATTATACTGTATGTGAATATTGTCCAAAGCTAACACTTTATTAGGCACTATATGTGGGCATTGTTCAAAGTGTACCACAGACCCCATGTCACTCCATTCTTCCAACACTGTAAGATTAAGATTCTTACTAATTCCTGGGTTTTTGCTAATTAAAATTCAAGGCCAGAGGCTGGACAGATGGCTCCAGGGTTAAGAACACTGTCTGCTCTTGCAGAGGATCTGAGTTCACCTCTCAGCACCCACACAGCAGCTAATAACTGTCTGAAACTCCAGTTCCAGGGGATCCAACACCCTCTTCTGTCCTCTGCAGGCATGCACACACTTGGTGCACTTATATACATGCAGGCAAAACATTCATACACATGAAATAAAATAAATAAAAATTTTTTGATTCATTTCTTTTTATCTTATGTGTGTGGATGTTTTGCATGCATGCTTCTAAGTGTACCATGTACATGCAATGCCTGTGGAGGCTGGAAGAGGGTGATAGATCCCCTGGAACTGGAATTATAGATGGTTGTTAGCCACCATGTGGATGCTGGGAACTAACTCAACCCAGATCCTTTGCAAGAACAGACAGTGCTCTTAACCACTGGGCCATCTCGAGTCCAAAAAAAAATTTTTTTTTTAAATCCAAGCTCAGCCAGTCGTGGTGGTGCACGCCTTTAATCCCAGGACTCGAGAGGCAGGCAGATCTCTGTGAGTTCAAGGTCAGCCTGGTCTACATAGCGAGTTCCAGGCCAGCTGAAGCTACAGAGAGACCCCGTCTCAAAAAGACCAAAAATAAATAAATAATTTAAAAAGCCAAGCTCAATTAAGTATAATAGCTCATACCTATAATCCTAGGGTTCAAGAGGCTGAGGTTCCTAGTCAGCTGAGCTACAGGACATGATGTATGCTTGCAATTAATCCCAGTATTTGGGAGGCAGGAGAAGCAGGAGTTGAAGGCCAGCCTTGGCTAGATAGCAAGACTGAGGCCAGCCTGGACTACATGTCTCAACAATAACAAAAATGTAAGCTCCGTTTGTGGCCCATAAAGCCCTACATTTCAGCCCTGTGCCAAGAGTTGTTACTACATTTTTAAATGATAGCTGCTTATTGCCCCGGGGTGGGGCCCAGGCATTGATTGTTCTGTTTTAAGCTCACAGGGTGATCTGAAGGTACAGTCAGGGTGGAGAAGGCCGGCTCAGGGCACCAGGCTTCCAGCTGCACCTCCAATATGTGTAGGGTACTTCTTGCTCAGTATGTAGCTGCGTAAGTAGAGTGAACGGTGATTCTTCTTGAGTTTGACTTGGCACAGATTGGCTGTGTGATGTCATGTGAGTGACTCTTCCTTGTGAGTACGCTTGCTCATCTGTCAAAACCAGTTACAGTCAGGCCCAATAGTGCAAGGCTGTACTCTGAGCTATTCAAGAAGCTGAGGTGGGGGGAATCATAACTTCGAGGCCTGCCTAGGCAACAGAGTGAGTTCAAAACCAGCCTGGATAACTTAGTGAGGCCCTGGCTCACAATAAAAATAGAGAAAAAAGAAGTTTTAAAAGAATTAAAAGGAGGGCTGAGAAACGAGCATGGTGGCTTAGGTCTGTAATTCCAGCACTCAGCAGCCTGAGGCGGATGGATCACCGGAGTTAAAGGCCAGCCTGAGACTAAAGAGTGAATTTCAGGTTAGCCTGGGCTAAAGTGAGATCCTGCCTCAAACAAAACAAAACAAAAAGGAGGGGTGGCGAGGTAGCTCAGTGATAGAAGCTTGTCTAGCATGCAGAAGGCTCCAGGTTCAATACTCAGTGCCAGGGTGGGGTAGCAGACACAAATCTTTATCTCAGGGAGGACAGTGATTGTAAAATAATACCAGTTTGTACAATAGTCTCACTTCTTTGAGGTGCAGCGCTCCTGTCCCAGGCATCTGCCCACATCCCACTCACAGACCTGTGCATCCTCCTCTTGCCCCCCAGCACCTTACCAAGAAGCTCTGACCGCGAATGAAGGGCATTTTCCCGGGAAGACTTCGCTCCTCAGGCCCCCAAGAGTTGTTGATCTGAGTGTTGCGGACCACAGCCTTCTCATCGAAACGGGGGTTCAGATGGAAAGCAATGTCGGTCCCAGAGCGCAGGTTGATGTGGAACCTGGGGTGGGCAGTGCACACGGACCCTGTCTGACCACTGAACCTTGGACCTAGCTCCTCTGCATTGTCCCCAGTCAGCTCAGAGTCAGGGGCTGGCCAGAAGATATAGGGAACCTCTGGTTTCCCATGAGCCCTGAAGGCCTGGCTTACCTCTTAGCATTGGGCAAGATGGTGCCCGACACAGTGATGGACTTGGATGGGTACAGCCCGCCAGGGATGGTGGTGAAGAAAGGCATTGGCTATTGGGAGAAGAGGGACAGTTCATTGGCAGTTGGGGGACTCGGTAAGGGTATCCGTGCACTTGGGATGGTCAGCTGAGTCTAAAGGCATAACTGTTACTACATCATCTGGAAGGAACCCAAGCATCTTCACTAGACAGCTTCTTGAGGTGTATAATTCTAACTAGATGAAGGGACCATTTTCAAGTTGAAAGCTCTTTTCAACAGCCTACTAATTTATATGGATATTTTAAAGTTTTCACCTTGATGTAGCAACCTTTTTTGATTATGCAAATCAGAGGATCATCCCCCCCACCAACCCTGTCTAACACAAATGAAATCTCTAGATCTCCCCAGTAAACCACTTACATAGGATGCAGTGGGGTATACCATGGGTGGAATTCCAGGATTCTGTTAAGAGACCAGGATTCAGTGCAGAAACACATATGTGTGCAAGACACACACACACACACACACACACACACACACTTTAGTCTTACTCTGCAATATGAGCCTGAGGCTAAGCATTCAGGTTCAGTCCTTAGAACCTCCCAGTCACCTTCCTTGTAACGTCAGCACCCCTGGAGCTTCCTTCTGTCTTCTGGGACCCCATCATGGTGCCTTGCCTTTTTGTCTCTTCCCCAACAGCCCCACCAACTCCAGGTCCCCCACCTGAGCTGCACTGACTGACAGGTGAGAAAGATTAGACCTGAGGCCACTACACTCCAGCCTGGTGAACAGGAGGACCAAGTTCTCTACTGTCCCTTGGGAATCTGCTTCTTTGATGACTATTCTGGAATCTTGACTGTCCCAAGGTCAGTTTGAGCTATACATCTTCCTAGCAGAGGGTCCATCCCCAACTGTCACTAACCTCCTCTTGAGCACTTTGGTTCCAACTCTGCAACTCTAGAGAAGTCTGGTTTTGCTGAAAAGGGAAGTCTGTGGGGATGGGAGCTGATAAAAAATTTTAGACTTACAGGGAACATCTGTCCAGGTGCACCATGGATGGTGTGGATGACAGTTTGAGCCTGGGAAAAAAAATAGGTCTTAACCAGCTTTGACCCTTGTGAAGACCAACACCTGTGACCAGAGGGCACCACTTAGCATGAGCCCTTAAGAGCTAGAACCTTAATCCAGGGCTATCACCTACCACGTCTCCTCTCTTGACATTCACATGCACTGGGAGTGGGGAGAGGTTCTCTATCTAAGGGGAAGATGGGCAAAGACTAGAATTCTGCCCCTGCCCCAATTTCTCTCACTTTGTAGGCAGGAGAGGTGAATGTGGGTCTGTCTGTTCTGAGACTGTGCACAGAAGGGCAGGAGCTTGTGCAGACAGGGCCATTCAGGTTTCTGAGCTCCTGATCCTCCTGCCTCCACCTCCCAGTGCTGGAATTACAAGTGTGCACCACCATGCAATGTTTATGTGGGGCTGAGGATCAAACCCAGGGCTTCCTGAATCTTAAACACTCTACCAATTGAGCTACATCCCCAGCCCTGTTTTCTAGATCATCTGGGCCAACCAGCCAGACCTCCAGCACCCACCTACCAACATCCCTGAGGCAGGGGAGATGTGAGGGTTGTGGCTTGGCCTTGTCTGCCCACCTTCCCTATATAGGAGAGGCTAGGCATTCGCTCTGCCTCCTTGTTTTAACCCATAGAAAGAGCCAAAATGAAGATAATCTATAAATAAATAAATAAATAAATAAATAAATAAGAGAGAGAGAGAGAGAGAGAGAGAGAGAGAGAGAGAGATGTGTTATAACACAGAGAGAGAGAGAAAAAAAATAAAATATATATATATAAATAAATATATATATATATAAGAGAGAGAGAGAGAGAGAGAGAGAGAGAGAGAGAGAGCAAAAGACTTACAATTGGCACATGGTGGGCAGGCTGAATAATACCCTGAGGCTGAAAAGGAGTAAAAAAAAAATCTGAAATGGTTATCACTGCAGGTAAGAAGCAACTTAGAACTCCAGGTGAGGCTCTTGTGGTCAGCGGTGTCTTTCCATACACAGACACCTCCTAAACCTGCAGCACCCAAATTCTCTCCCTCACGTGGACAGGGGTGTCAGTCTGGCTTGAGGGAGAAGGCACTGTCCCATGCTTCCTGAGAGAGGAGACAGACGATACCACATGTTTTCCCTGGGCTCCCAGAGGGCCAGAGTACTGCATGTATCTACTTCCCCATTTCAGAAAGGTTAAGCAACTTGCCCAGGCCAGTCTAGGTAGTGAGTGAGAAGATCTCAAGTGGTGTCCAGCTCTGTCACATTGTGTCCTCAACATTCCCCTCAGGCCAGGGCCATGTTGGGCTGCCCCACAAAGGCTTCCAGGAGCTCTGCCAGTTCCAAAGTTAGTGTGCCACATAAGCCACAGGATAGGTAGCTATGGCACCCCTCCCCAACCCCAACTGCCCCAGTGGCCACAGAAAGGACTGCTGGCTTTCCCCAGACCTTGCCACCATCCCACCTACACCCCTCTTGCCTGTGCTTGCTTCCTATTCTCCCTGGCTTTGCAAAACACATCCCACATTCATTTACTGAGTCCCTACTGCATGCCAGGCACTGTATAAGGGCTGGAGATACACAAATGAATGAGCCACAATGCCAGCATTCCAGGGGTTCCTGGGATGGGGGAGGGGGTATCCTGATGAAGACAGACACACAAACATGGTTACAACAGGATGTGGAGACTGGCAAGGCACAGACACATATGAAGTTTATGAAGACATGGGGCCGGTGGGTGGGGGAAATGAGAAAACTCTTTTAAGTGACGTTTGAACAAAGAACTGCAGTGCAATTGTTAGTTGGCAGCCTGTGCAAAAGCATGGTAGCCAGCCCCACGACTAATCAGAGGTGGACAGTGAGATGGGACCAGGCTGGGAGTGCTGTTACATCTTGCAGGGGAGTTTGAGCTCTATTTATTGAGTATTTTGGTTTTAGGGGACAGGGTTTTATGTAGCCCAAGTTGGTCTCAAACTTTCTGTTGCTGAGGGTGACCTTGAACTTCTGATTTTTTCAGCCTCTGCCTCCATGGTACTAGGCTTATAGCATGTGCCGCCACACCAGGCTTTGGGCTTTATTTTAAAAGGATGTTGTGTCTTAAAATTTTTATACTGGGAGAAGGTAAGATGGAATTTACTGGGTGAGGTCTACAGTGTTGGATAGGAAAGGGTGAGAGGAACCAGGCCACAGTTATCATAGTGAGGAGTCACCACAGGCTAGACCAATGCAGTGGCTTTGGGAGGAAGAGACCATGGTCATGGGAGAACAAAGGTCGGGGACGGATGCAGGTCTGAGCAGCTGATACAGACAAGGGACCTTGTGTGGACGTGATGGGGTCCTCAGGAGCTGAGAAGCCTATTGGCTGGACCTTCCTTCTGGCCTTCTATCCTTTCAGCTAACTAATCACCTCTGGGGCCTGAGTGTTTAACTCACTTTTGGTCTGCGCCCCCGGGGGTTCCGTGGAAACTGAACAGGCTGGGAGAATTGCATCGTGGAACAGATGGGCTGGACAGGAGCTGTGTAAGAGTTCTGTTAAAACAAAAGCAGGTCTGGGTGACAGAAGAGTTACTACAGACAAGGAGGAGCGCAGCTAGAGGCAGGGGCAGCAAGGGGCAGGCAGGGTCAGCAGCAGACAAAGAGTGCAGCTAGCTCCTGAGGCAGGTGGGACAGAAAAGGGTTAGGCTACTGTGAGCAAGAGCAGGGTGTCCATCTTCCTCTAGGAAGGAGGAGGGTGAACATAAGGGCAAAGAAAAAGGAGCTCAGATCTGGAGAGGACCAGCCTAGGATACACCGATCTCCCAACTTTCATCCAGTTACCCATAGACATTTGTTTGATTTTTTTTTCTTTCTATTTTTTTTTTTTTTTTTTGGTCTTTTTGAGACAGGGTCTCCCTGTAACCCCAGCTGGCCTGGAACTCACTATGTAGACCAGGCTGGCCTTGAACTCACAGAGATCCACCTGTCTCTGCCTCTGCCTCCTGAGTGCTGGGACTAAAGACGTGCACTACCACACCTGGCAAAATAAATCTCTTAAACAGAAATTTAAAACATAGCTGGATATGGTGGTGCATGCCTGTAATCCCAAACACTGAAGAGGCTGAGTCAGGGAGATAACAAGGTAGAGGCCAATCTGTTATACAAAGTTCAAGGCCAATCTGAGCTACAATAGTAAGACTCTGAATTAGAAAATATACTGGGGCTGGAGAGATAGCCAGTGGTTAAGTGTACCTACTGTTCTTACAGAAGGGACTGGAGTTCAGTTCCCAGCACTCACATCAGGCAGCTCACAACAACCTCTAACTCCAGCTCCAGGGGATCTGATACTCTCTTCTGGCCTCTTAGGGCACCCACACACGTGCACACATACACACATAAATTTTAAAAAATTGTTTTGAAGACAGGATTCCACTATATAGCACTAGCTTCCAGAAAACTCGCTATGTAAACCAGGCTCACTTTGCCCTCATAGAAATCTATCTGCCTCTGCCTCCCAAGTGCTTGATTCAAAGGCATGTGCCACTATGCCTGGTCTATAAATTTTTTAATTTAAAAAAACATTTTATTTGTTATTTGTATTTATTTTTATTTTTGTTCTTTTGAGGCAGGGTCTCCCTGTAGCCCCAGCTGGCCTGGAACTCACTATGTAGACCAGACTGGCCTGGAACTCACAGAGATCCACCTGCCTCAGCCTCTCAAGTGCTGAGATTAAAGGTGTGTGCCACCATGTCCAGCTTTATTACTTTTATTTTTATGCATATGAGTGTTTTGCCTCCACATAAGTAGTGTACCACATGCATGCAATGCCCACAGAGTCCAGAAGAGGGTGTTGGATCCCTGGAATTGGAGTTACAAATGGTTATTAGCTATGTGGGTCCTGGGACTCAAACCCAGGTCCTCTGGAAAAACAGCAAGTGTTCTTAATCACTGAGCCATCTTTCCAGCCCCTAAATAATTTAATTGCTGGGTGTAGTGGCACATGCCTTTAATCCCAGCACTCAGGAGGTAGAGGCAGGCAGATAAAGGCCAGCCTGGTCTTTATAGCAACTTCTAGGCCAGATGGGACTACAAGGAGAACCTGTATATATGTAAATTATTTTCAGAGCTAGGCCTGGTGGCACAGACCTGTAATCCCAGCACTAAAGAGGCTAAAGTCGAAGGATTGTCAGAAGTTTCCGGCCAGCTTGGTCCACATAGGGAGTTCCAAGCCAACCAGGGTTACATAGTAAGACCCATATTAAAACAAAAAGTGAATTAAATAATTTTTGTAACAAACATCTGTAATCTCAGCACTCATAGAAGGATCATGAGATCGTGGTCAGCCTGGCCTGCAAAGTGAGACCTTATCTCAAAAAAAAAAAAAAAAAAAAAAAAAGATTTTTTTTTTTTTAACACAGAAATCCAACAGACCCAGATCTGACCTCAGGAACCATACTGTACCTTTGCTCTGGATTTTGTTTGGTTCCCAAGCATGGGACTTTCTAGAACTACCTGGTCTTCTAGCAACAGAAGGTGACAGAGAGACTGAGTGACTCAGAGTGGCTGAGGGGAATTAGAGACCCAGGCAAGCGTTCCTTACAGAAAAAGCAACAGCAAGAGGGGCAACAGAGGAAAAGAGGCAAACACCAGACGGGGGAGCCAGCATGCCCAAAGCCACCTGGGGAGGACATGGCTGGTACCCAGTAGGGTGGGCACAAGCTCAACTGGGCACTGTACCCCATCCCCGGGACAGGTGCCAGGTTTTCCTTCTGACCTGGAAGTTGATGAGCGACAGCTGCAAGGAGCCGGTGACATTGATGGTGTCTACGAGGTGGTAGGGTACCCGGTGTGAGTACTGCACAAAGAAGCTCTTGTTTATCATCACCTGCAAAGGAGACTGTGTTGGAGAGGAGTCCCAGACAAAGGCAGGAACACACCTGAGTTTTGCTTCCAGAAATGAAGACCTGAGGCTGCTTTTCACATCAAGTCCCTCTAGGCCAGGGCATCATCCTCACTGCTATGCCAGGGATGGAATGTGTGAGTCACTGCCCTCCACCACCCCTCTCCACTGGCTCTGGTTTCTTGCTGGCAGTTAGTTCTGACAGTCATTCGATTATTACTCTAGGCTTGTCTTTCAATCATACTTCATCTGGGGAATTTTTCTTGCTATTGTTATTGTTGAAAAGGGGGCCCAGGTTGGCCTCAAACTATGTAGCCTAGAATGACCTTGAATGCCTGATCTTCCTGTTTCCATCTCCCAAATGCTGGCATTATAGGTATACCATACTCAGTTTATGTGGTGCTGGTATAGAACTCAGGGCTTTCTTCATGCTAGGCTAGCACTCTACCACTAGACTGCATCCCCAGCCCTCACCTGGGGTAATACTTGGTATACATAGAATGTTCATAGGGAGCAGAGGAGAGGACCCTCCCCCAAGTCTGTACGCAGAGTGCATGAGAACCTCAGTGTCACACAGACAAGCTCAGAAATGGACACACTCACCCATCCCTGTCCCTCAGCCCAGAGACATGAGTCAGTCTGCAAAGGTACTTTGCCCTTAGTAGAATCTGGAGAAAGGGTAGAATGTTGTTGACAGATGTTAGGACTTTGGATGTACCTCAGTGGTAGGGAGGGCACTTGCTTAGTATACATGAGGCCCTTGGTTTCATCCCCAGCACCATCGAGATGTTACCAGGGACCTGTGGTGGAGGACTTCCACTGCACAGGGATGGAATGAACTTGGACTTCAAAGACACATGAGGGGCTGAGGAGTTAGCAGTTGATAGCTGCTAGGGGAGGAGGTGTCACTCCTTTTGGGTGTTGTAGCCACTGCTAAGTGGCCTGTGATCTGGCAAATAATCTCACACTCATGCAAGCAACCCTAATAAATCTCAGTGGGCTGTTTAGAAGAAGAAGAAAAAAAAAGACAGAAGGTTGGAAGATGTGTTGGGATGAAGGGTTCCAGAGGGAGTGAGAGGGAGGTAAGAGGGGAGGTCAGAAGAGGGTGCTGGATCCCCTGGAATTGGAATTATGAATGGTTGTTAGCTGCCATGTGGGTGCTGGGAATTGAACCCGGGTCCTCTGCAAGAGCAGCCAGTACTCTTAACTGCTGAACCATCTCTCCAGCCCCATAAAAAAATATTTTTAAAAAGAAGACACATGAGGTCAAAAAGCCACGTGGTGACAGGTCTAGGTCTTATTTTCAAAAAGTGATTAAACAAGAAGTGTGCCTGTAGACCAGGCAGGAGTGTGTAAGGGATCCCCGTAGCCATGGGTGACATCTCACAAGGCAGCAGTCCGGATCAGTGTAGTGGTGTTGTTGGAGCCTGATGTCAATGAATGTGACTGCTGAAGGGTCATTGACCAAGTTGGGCGGGCTGGAGGAGGCATTCCTGCTCACCTTGAAATCCGACCTTTGCACCAGGAAACAGAGCTCAAAGGGCACCCCCTTCTGGAAGGGCATCTGCATCTTCCTTTCCTCAGACCCCCAGGATCCTTTCTGCTTTGTGTTGCAAACCACGTATCCTCCCTCTTCAAAGCGAGGGTTGAAGTGGAAGGCAATATCATTTCCACTGAAGCCGGTCTGAAAGTTCACAGCAAACCTAAAGCAGAGAAATTAACCTTCTGGAGCATGGCTTACTGCCAAGGTCAAATGGGGGCACTGGGTGCCTCTGACTTCCTTGTTTGTTAGCATGCTCTGGTTCATCTTATCTGAACCTGATACATTTTTGTGCAATTATTACATTTTGCCCTTTCTGTGTTATTCCCTCCCTCCCTCCCTCCCTCCCTCCCTTCCTTCCTCTCTGCCTTTTCTTTTAAGATTTATTTCTTATTTGTGTGTATGTATGTTTGCCTGCATGAGCTTATTTGCGCCACCATAACAGACTTGCCACTCTTGCACCATTGGGCACATCTTACCCAGCCAGTTGTAGTGTTGCCCACAGGGTCCACAGCTGAGTAAGACTATTGATGACAAATCTCCCCAGCAGCCTGCATAGCACCTTCCAGCATGGAATGCCATCTACCAAGAAGGAGCTTCCAGCCCAGTTTCAACTTGATTTCTACATGTCCTGACAAGAGTCCACGGTGGAAGATAGACTTGTTGCTAATGCCATCACTTTTCTTTACAAATTGTCTACTTAACTTTTTAAGGAAATATGGGGGCTAAAGAGATGGCTCAGCAGATAAGAGCACTTGATGTTCTTGCAGAGGACCTGGATTTGTTTTCTGGCACCTACATTGTGTCTCGCAACCACCTGTAACTCCAGTTCCAGGGGATCTGATGCCCTCTTCTGTTCTGGTGATGACCAACCGCTTTCTGATTGGATTTGAGGCCCACTCAATAGGAGGGAATTCCCATCTGGCACTACAAACCTGGATAAAAATCTGTAGCTGGGAGCTCATAGGCCCTAGTGGAGAAGCTATTGCTATTGCTTTGCTAAATGGACGTGATGTCCTACCAAATAGCCTTCTAAATAATTATGTTCATGCCTATTGATTAACGCTGGCATCAGCTTTGGTCAGAGAAGCTTTTCTTTTGCAGTGGGCAGTGGTAACTGCAGAAACTCACAACTAGACAGTGATGAGAAGTGATGGTTGTAAATGGGTCATAAAGGGTAAAACAACAACAACAACAAAAAAAAAAAACATAAATGGGTTCTAGATGAGACATCTCTATTAAGAGCCAGAGGAAAGAGTTGTGGGACACTATCTTCCAGGTATGACTTGACCATTGCACTCTTGAACTCACAGCAGCTGTGATTACCTGCACAAGACCTGCATAAGACTGGGCCAGACAACATTCTGTCATGGGGAGAAGAGGGGCTCTGAGACACCACCCTTCCCTGGGGATTTATAGGGGAGAGACAGTTTTCTTCAGTGGGTAGCCACTGGTAAGGTACCCACATTCCTGTAAACAAAACCTCATCCATGGTCATCATATAAGCAACCTTCATGAAATCCATTGGGTCCCATACACACAAATTGGCATGGAAGAGAAGGAGGGGCTAGTTGGAGAGAAGAATGCATTCAGTAGGAGTGAGAGGGGGACAAGAGGGGGTAGTGGGGGTGAATATCATCAAAATACATGTACTCGTGCATGAATGCATGTGGTGGTTTGAATGAGAATGTCCCCTGTAGGCTCCAAGTTTTTGAGTACTTGGTCCCAGCTGGTGATGCTGTTTGTAGAAGTTTAGGAGGTGCGGCCTTGCTAGAGGAAGCACATCACTCAGGGAAGGCTTTGAGAGTCTGTAGCCTTGCCCCATTTCCAGTTTCTCTCTACTTCCTGGGAGTTCTTAAGATGTGAGCGCTCAGGCCACCTCTGCTGCTGTGCCTCTCTAGCCTGGCGGACTCCCCCCTAGAACTGTGAGCCTAAATAAACTTCCTTCTATAAGTTGCCTTGGCCATGGTGTTTATTCAAGCCACATAAAAGCATCTAATACAATGTCACAATTAACATATATTAATAAAAATATCTGTGTATTGCCTGCCTGTGTATAAATGCACCAAATGCATGAAATGCCCTTGGAGGTCAGAAGAGGGCATCAGTATCCTCTGGAACTGGACAGTTGTTAACCCTTGCAGAGGACCCAGGTTCAATTCCCAGTACCTACCTGGTGGTTAACAACCATCCATAAGTCCAGTTCCAGGGAATCCTGATGCCCTCTTCTGACCTCCAAAGGCATTACATGACACAGGTACAGGTACACTTATATACACGTAGACAATACACTCATACACAAAATGAAAATAATAAAATATTTTTTAAAAAAGAAAAAAAGGGGCTGGAGAGATGGCTCAGCGGTTAAGAACATTGGTTGTTCCTGCAGAAGACCCGGGTTCAAATCCCAGCATCCACATGGCAGCTAACAACTGTCTGTAACTCCAGTCCCAGGGGATCTGACAGCCTCTTTGGACCTCCACGGGCATTGCACGACATGGGTTCACTTATCTACATGCAGGCAATACACGCATACACATAAAATAAAAAATTAAAATAAAAAATTTAAAAAAAAGAAAAAAAAATTTTTTGAAGCAAGAGAAAAAAAAAATACGTCCTAGAAACATATATTTTACAGTTGACATCAAAAAGGAACATCATGAAATTTGCCCAGGAAAGCCCTTTGCACAAGCAGACAGTGCTTGGAGGCTGGCATTGTTGGAAGCCAGCTTGTACTCGCTCAATTGGGATAGAAAAGAACAAATTCAGGGCAGGTACAACGGCTCAATGGGTAAAGGCACCTCACCACCAAACCCGATGACCTGAGTTTGAACCCAGGACCCAGGTGATGGAAGGAGAGAACTAACTCCCACAAGTAGTCTTCTGAGGCCTCCACATGCACCTGTGGCATGCACACTCCCACATATGAACACACACACACAAATAAACAAAATGCGACAATTTTTTTAAAGAACGAACTCAAAGATTATGTGAAATTGCTTTCCAGACATAAAGGCCCTCATCACAAGAGTCTGGTTCTCACTGAGTGCTAGACATATAAGAGGTGGAAGATAAGCCTGGACTTGGACCCCAGCTCCACACTGCTGCTTGAGGTGACCCCTGACCCACACTACCTTGCTCAAGTTCCCCTCTACTTAGATGTTGGAAAACATTCATTCTTGGCTCTCTTCCTGGGAGGAAATCTCTCCTCTTGGCAACTTTCTTTTGGAGTATAGTAGGGGCTCTAAGAGGGCCAGTCAAAGCCAGAGAAACTTCCAGGGAGGCCGGCTCACAAAAGGAGCTCCATCAGTATTTGTTCTGCCCAAGTCTGTCCACTTAGATCCTAGAACCAAGCTCAAGCCTGAGGCTCTCTCTTCCAAACATCTCCCAGTCCAACCTTCTGCATAGGCGTGGCTGGTGTCTGGCCACTCTGGATTCCTGGCTACCCAAACAGAGCGGGGGGCAGATGGGGGAGCTGCTCTGCTACCTGTAGCCCCCAGAGTGGCCAGATTGTGCCATACCCTGAGGGAGCCTCTGACAGACATTCTATCAGGTTCCTGCTGAAGAGCCCATTTGAGTTCTCCCCTGTTGCAGGAAAGTATATTCTGGAATATTCTAGGCAGAACACTAATAAAGTTCTCAGTGGCAGGTGACCCAGTGGAAATTGCTGTGGCCCTGAGCCCAGGGCCTGTCCCAGATGGCCATGTGTCTAGGGATGCTAAGAGAAAAGGAGGCTCGAGCATACATGGGAATCAACATTGAACCCTTATTCCTCTTTTTGAGACAGGGTCTCATGTAGCCCAGGCTGGCCTCAAGTTTGCTATGTAGTTGAGGATAACTTTGAACTCTTGATTCCCCTGTCTCTACCTCCAGAGTTCTAGGATTACTAGCATGTGCTACCATACATGCTAAGTTTATTCTGTGCTGGGGCTCAAACCCAGGACTTCACGCATGCTAGGCAAGCACTCCAACTGAGCTACATCTCTTACCCCCTTATTTCTCTTGCACTGAAGATCACTGCTTTTGAAATTTCCTATTTTTCTCTCTTGGAGAGGTCTGGCAACTTCTATCCTGTCCTTTGAAAAACTCTGCCCATACTCCCAGGAGGGAGGCATCAGCTCTGAGTGGAGGAGGGTGGTCCTTAGCAAATGGGATGAAGGTGGGGGTGGTACTCAGGGGTAGGCCCTGGATCCCCAGTTGGGGGGGCCATAGGGCAGTCTCCTGGTGGACTGTGGGGTTATCAGATAGGTCGCATGGCTAGCATGGCTATGTCCACCCAAAAGACAGCAACAGTGGAGAAAGTTAACTAGAATTCAGCCAGCCAAAGTGAGGTTGGTCAGCTTGTCATGAGGATGACTCCCATATAAGGCCTTGACAGGCCGCTGGGATTGAGAAGGTGGAATTGAAATGGGCAGCTATGACTGGAGAGGGGCTAGGACTCACACATCAGCAGATGGCTGCCACACAGACCCACCCAAACCACATGAAGGCCATATATCTCTGTACCACTCACGTGGGTGGCTCAGAAGAGGTCAACCAGACCACAGGAGGATCAGAGGCCCCTGCAGCCCTTGAGAAGATTCCTGGATGCTTCCCTGACCCCAGACAGCCCTCCTTGGTATGAACTGACATTCCCAGGGGAAAAAAATCAGTCCAATGGTAAACATTCTACAAGGCCAATTGATTAGCTGAGGTATTGCAGATCCAGAGACTAACTTTAGCTCTCTGAAGAGAGCTTATCTTGACTAACTTTAGCTCTCTGAATAGCCATTTATTGCCCACTTCTGTGTCTGACCCAACATCCTTCTCACTAACACATGAAAGATTTTAGGATGTATTAATTTGAGAGACTTCTACTTTCTACCAACCCAAAAGCTAAGAATGTCATCAGATGTATCTGAGGCCTATAGCAGAGATCTCCCAGCCTTGCTGTGACCTGCCTACTTGCTGTGAGCCACCAACTTGCTGTGAGCTGCCTACTTGCTGTGAGTTGCCTACTTGCTGTGAGCTGCCTACTTGCTGTGACCTGCCTACTTGCTGTGACCCACCCACTTGCTGTGACCTGCCTACTAGCTGCTCCTATCTGTGTATTTGTAATCCTGAAACCATTACTATGTTGGAACATCATATTTGAAGCAACCTGAATCCATGTTCCCAGGCCACGGTCACTCATTCTTGGGACCTGAATACACTCGCTATTCCCTTTGAGTTGAGAGCTGTGCTCTGTATCAACAAAGGAAGGAAGAACAATGTGCTGACATTTTTAATTATTTAGTGCTCAAAAGACCTTAAAATCTAGAGACTCCAGATTGTGTGTGTGTATGTGTATATGTGTGTGTGTATGTGTGTGTATGTATGTGTATGTGTGTGTATGTATGTGTGTGTGTGTGTGTGTATGTGTGTGTGTGTGTGTGTGAGTCTATTGAGCCCAGTGCCTGGCACAGACTAGGCAAACCCTCTACCACTGAACTATATCCTCAGCCTTCTTTCTACTTTTTATTCTGAGACAGGTCTTGATAAATTGCTCAGGCTGGCCTTGAACTCCCTTAGTAGCCCAGGCAGACCTTAGCCACCCCAGGAGCTAGGTTTATATGCTAATGCTGTCAGGCCCAGCTACCTGGGACTTTTTTAAAAGACAAGATCTCATATATTCCAGGCTGGCCTCAAAATTCCTATCTAGCTAAAGGTGACTTTGAACTTCATCTACCCCTTTCTTGCTGGGATTATAGGTGTGTGCCTTCGTATCCAGTTTGTCTGATGCTGGGATCAAATCCAGGGCTTTGTGAAGACTAGGCGAGCACTCTACCAACTGAGTTATATCCCAGTCTTGGGATTAATTTTGATAGGAACTTCAAATATTTCCCAGAGTTCAAAAATAGACAGTGCTGGGACTAGAGAGATATCTCAGTGGTTAAGAACACTTCCTGTTCTTCCAGAGAACCCTAATTCAATTCCAAGCACCCATATCATGTGCCTCACAACTACCTGTAACTCCAACCAATATGATGCCTGTCCTCTTCTGGCCTCTTGGGCACCTGCACATACATGGCAAACTCACACAGATACCCAGACACACACAAAATAAAATAAATCTAAAGATAGTTGCCAGGTGTGGTAGTGTACACCTTTAATCCCAGCACTTGGGAGGTAGACATAGGCAGATCTCTGTGAGTTCCAGGCCAATTGGGGCTACAGGAGACTCTGTCTCAAAAAAAAAAGTAGATGAGTTCTCTTTTAGCACCACTGATCATAATGTCAAGAGAGCATCCGGCTGCTCTGTACATGCTATCTGCCTCCTCAGACTGTGCGCTCCAAGGTACTGGCATCTCTGAAGCCTATAGAGTCTGTCAGCGGTGCTCTGGATGCAGTGGTGGCCCTCCATGCCCTGCAGCTCAGTGGTTACTGAGCAATGAGGCTGCCGATAAACAGCAGTGTCATCCACAGACCTGTTTACAGAGGAGTAGGTGATGGTGCCCAGGACAGTGATCTGAAGTCCCTCCTGCAGACCTCCTTGGATTATCCCAGAAAAGGGGACGACCTGCAGGGGGAAGCAGGAGACATCAGTTGGCTGGCACTTGCCTCTTGTGATCCTACCTGGCTGGGGGAGGGGGGGAACTATGAAGGGAGCTATCCAATTAGTTACACAGTAGTTCTGAGAGTGTGAATGGACCACCAGGTTCTGAGAGGCATGATAGAGAGCTGACCTGGAGTGACAGTGATGGAAGTGACCGCTGTGGAATCTACCAGAAGGCTGCCCCTCAGACAGGAAAACACCATGCATCTGGCCTGGAGGGCAAGCAGCTAGGATGGTGAGAAGGGTTGCTGGCCCCCAGCCAAGTTCCCCCAAAGACCCTAGGGTTCTGGCTAGGGACTCAAGAGGCCCAAGGGACCAAAGGGATCCATCATTCTGTTTTAGCAGGTAAACTTTCCACATACCAGAAAGGACCAAGAGGAAGGCACCCTGTACTAGATAGCTTCAGTTATCAACTTGACACACCTGGGTAGAGGAAAGCTCAGTTTAAGGATTTCTTCCATTGAGTGGGCCTGTGGCCATGTCTGTGGGGCATTTTCTTGATTGTTGAGTGATGTGGGATGGCCCAGTTCATTGTGGGTGTTGCCACCCCTGGGCAGGTGGTCCTGGGTTAAGAAAGGAGGCTGAGCACACGCCAGGAGAGCAAGCCAGTAAGCAGTGTTTTCTGTGGTCTGTACTTTGGTTCCTGCCCTGAGCTCCTGCCTTGGTTTCCCTTCATGATGAACTGAAAGCTGAAGATAAAATAAACCCTTTCCTCCTCACGTTGGTCTCTGTCAGTGTTTTTATCACAGTTCCTTCCCTAGAACCCCAGCAGTTTGTGAGCCCCAGTGTCTCCATCCCAGGCCCCCCAGCCAGTCCCTCTGTCTGATCTTTCCCCAGCCTCCTTAAAGGAGCACTGGATCCCAGGAAGTCTCACACTGTTTGCTGTTTTAGAGTCCAGCAGCGGAATCCTAGCCACTGCTTGTTATCTAAGCAGACTTGAGAAGCTCAATCTCTCTTTGCCTCCATTTCTTCATTTACAAAATGGGGATAAAATACCTCCCTTCTTCCCAGGACTGGCACCTGTCTGCCACCCCACCCACTTGTCTTGTGCTCTCTGAGCAGAATCCCCACATTGGTGACTTACTGGTTTTCAGAACTTCTGGAATGCTTTTTAGTCATGTGGCTCTGCCACGTACATGGGCTTTCTCCCTGATTCCCACATTGTTTTAGGTTTTTTTTAACGACTTCTCTCACATCTCTTATAGGTCAACTCCCTATAAAAAGTAAATGCTTACAGGAACTGGGAAGGTGATAGTTTTGAGTGAAGTGGCCAGTAGGACACTAGGGAGTTGGTAGGGACTGGGACAAAGTGGATCCCGCACCCTTCATCTAGTGGAAGCATCTGCTCAGCTCTAAGGAATGGTCACCATGCAGGCACAGTATTGGAAGGCTGCCGCAGGGAAATAATTACAAAGAATTAAAAAATTTTCTCTCAAAAGAATGGTCACAGGAATGCAACTTTGTAATGTTATTTTGTAATCACTCCCCTCAACACTGTGTAAAACTTTTGCTTGGAACAAGGACTTGAAATCATTTGATCTTCCCCATCTTGTGAAACTTTTGTTTATACAAAGGTCCTGTGCATTCTGGGAACTTGATGGCTAAGAGTAACTGACCCTTCCCCATTTCCTTCATTTCCTTTTCCCCGATTCTTTTAAAACTTGCTGACCTTGAAAGACTGTAAGATTGGATCTGAGTCAATGAGAAAAAGACACATGTTTTTGCATTAGGATGAAACCTATCAAATTTCCTACTCGGTGTTCTTGTTGATACCTGAATTAGGCAACACGCTTCAGTAAAAGTAAAAGCTGACTTGCAGAGTTACTTTAGTTTTATCCATGTGGTTATTGTGTGGTATTATATTTTATTTCTAACACCAGGCAAGCATAAGAGACAGGTTTAGTACCTTGGGACCCTATTTGGTTTTGAGTTATGCACAGCTCCCTCTTGTAATAATGCACTTGGCAGCCTAGTTCTTTTACCTGCACATACTATGCACGCACATCTCTCTCCAAACAATGCACCTAGCAACCTCAGAATTCCATTGACTCACCACCTGCGTCTGACTACACTGACTTCTCTTTCTGATCAATAGTATAAGTTTCCCAGCCCCTGGTAACAGTCAAATTTAGATAATTTCTATTCAAATGTACTCCCCATATATCCAATTATGAAGAACAGAAAGGCCAATCCTACCTGATGGGTTTTGGGTGCATGCATAGTAAAGCAAAACTGTGTCCTCTAATAACCTTTTAGGGAGAAGCTCCTATTTACCATCTTATGCCTATGCATAATTGGGCTTGCATATGATTAAAATCAGATCCATTATGGGAAGGGACATGCACAGTAGAAAAAAATGACTATATGTTCTAATCTACCAAACAAAATAGAGAACAGGGACTAGAGAGATGGCTCAGTGGTTAAGAGTACTTACTTCTCTTTTAGAGGACCCAGGTTCAGCTCCCAGCACCTACATGGCATCTTACAACTATGCGTAACTCTAGTTCTGTGGGATCCAATGCCCTCTTCTGGCATCTGAGGGCACCAGGCACACATATGGTGCACATGTATATAGGCAGGCAAAGCACTCATAAATATAAAATAAAAATAAATAAATTCCTAAAAAAGAAAACCAAGCTGGGCATGGTGGTATATGTCTTTAATTCCAACACTCAGGAGGCAGAGGCAGGTGGATCTCAGAGATGGAAGCCAGTCTGGTCTACAGGGCAAGTTCCAGGCCAGCTGGGTCTATAAGGAGACCCTATCTCAAAAAATGAAAGAGAGAGAGAGAGAGAGAGAGAGAGAGAGAGAGAGAGAGAGAACCAGTTAAGCTACACCCCTTAGTAACTAAATTCTCCTCCCCTTGAACCCCATAAAAGGAAGCCCCAAACGATATTTGGGGCCCTTGACTGTCTTTACTCACATGGTCTGCTGTTACTCTTGACAGTCTCTGATCTGTGCTATCAAATTGCTCAAATAAACTAATCTTGCTTCTTTTGTAAATCCATGTGAGCCCTTACTTTCAGTTATTTGGATAGGAGACCAAGAACCTGGAAACATCTGACCCAGGCCTGACCACCAGTAATGGGGCTTCCAAACTTTTAGAAGACAGAAATCTGAACAATGATGATAGTTTTATGTTCTAATTTCAGGGTGGTGGTGGTGGTAGTGGGAAATCCTTGAAAAAGATTTACATAGAATTCTAGCCAGGTGTGGTGCTGTATGGCTGTAATCCCAGCACTTGAGAAGTAGATGCAAGAGGGTCTGTAGTTCAAGGTCAGCCTGGACTACATGAGGCCTTGTTACAAGACCCCCCCCCAATTTAAAATGAATTCTTGGGACTGGAGAGATGGCTCAGTGGTTAAGAGCATTGGCTGCTCTCACAGAGGAACCACTTTCAGTTCCCAGCACCCACATGGCAGTTAGCAACTGTCCTTAATTCCAGTTCCAAGGGATTCGACACCCTCTTCTGACCTCCGTGGGCATTGCACTTACATACATGCAAGCAATACGCTCATACATATAAAATATAAATAATTAAAATATTTTAAAAAATGAACTCCTATATTATAGAGATATGTGAGGAAATATTTTCAGTGAAATGATATGTCTGGATTTGCTTTGAAATAATCTGAGACTGGAAAGGAAGGTGGGTGAAGGTACAGAGAGCAAGCGGGGTAGGTCAGGGATGCACAGGCTGTGGATGATACTGTTCTCTCCACAGGCTTTGACTTTTCTCTCGTAAAAAGTCATCACCCCACAGCCAACTGAAAACACCCACCTTCCAAATTCAGTCCACTCACAGTTAGACCAAGATGCTGCCCTGTGTAGGGGGATCAGTTACACCTTCTATCCCATGTAGTACCTTCCTGAAGCTGCTAAACTCCTAGCCTACAGCAGCCCCAAGGAAGGGTGGAACAACAGAATTCATTTCCTAAATTACAATTTTAGATTTTATCCAGTACCAATCTGCTGAACTCAGAGACCACTCCCCTCTGAAGTCTATAAGCATAATGGGTTTCCTTTGTTCTTTCTGTTGGACCTCCCCCATATTCCAGCTTCCCCTGCTGCTAGTGGTTGGTGTTAATAAAGGATCTGATCACCAGAAATATTTCAGCTCCAGTGAACAGTGAACCAGCATTTCATCCAGGCTTTCTTTTCTTATCTCACACTGGCACTGCCTGCTGGCCTTCACCATTGAGTTATCTGGTCACCTAGAACCTATGGAAGGCTGTCCTAGCTCAAGGTACAGGTCTACTGCTGTGATGGCCCTTGAGTTACTGGGAGGTCACTCAGACCAACCTTTGTCTATCATCTCGGGGAGGTATCTTGTTGTACCTCATGGTGTTAGGAATAAAATCTGAGGTCCAAGGACCCCATCAAAGAACACTCGAACAAAGCATAAAGTAACTTGGCAAGGCAGATTTTACTTTTGCAAAAGGGTGACTTGCTTGATCAGTCAGATCCTGCAGGTACACACAGGACCCAGAAGCTTGGGAGACTTTTATCCCTAACGCAAGAGAACTGTGTCCTTCCCCATTAGTTGGGGTCCAACCTCACAGTCTTTTCCAGTTGGCTAGTTTAAAGAATCCACATGAAGGGAGAAGAGCTCTACCATACCAGGCTATCAGGCTCAGGAATGCATTGGGGCCTTTCCTTAAACAGAAGTCTTACAAGGTGTGATGTGATTAAAAGATTAGAAGTCCTTGTCATAAACCAAGTTTCCAAGTTTTGCAGAGTTTTAAAGAAAAGACTAATAGCTACTGTTTCTTACAATGGGAGGCCTGAGTTCTGCTATCAAGCACTTCAGTGACCTGGAACAAAATCACAGCTTGCCTCTGTCTGAGTCCCTTTGGTCCCCCATCCAAGCCTGAGGTGTGGGTGCAGAACAGTCAGCCTGAGGGAACTGTGGATTGGCATGGCAGAATGTCTTTTTTGTTGTTGCTTTGCTTTGCTTTGTTTCT